TTGCAGTCCATGTTCAGGTCCTGCCCGTTGACCTCCAGCTTGACGATGATGACCTCGTAGTACCACTCCTTCCGGATGGGTGTGTACCAGATGTCACCCACGTACAGCGAGCGGTCGATGCCACCAATGATCTGCAGCAGAGACAGAAAGGCGCTGCCGCCACACGCTGCCAACTGCGGCCAGGCAGGTCCCGCTGCAGCAGAGCACTCACCATGCTGCCCCCCACCGATGCCAGGGCCTCCGTCTCGTTGGGCGAGAAGCCTGCCCCGCAAAGCTGGAGGGAGAAGATGTTGGGCACCCGGGTCTGCTTCACCAGGGAGTCAAAGAAGGGCTCCAGGCTGTCGTCGGGCTGGTGGGAGGAGAAAGCAGAGGCAGGACAGGTACGTGTCAGTGCTGTCCCCTCTCCCGGGGCTCCCCCTGCCCGGAACGCCCTGCCCCCAAAAAAACGGCGTGCTGCTGGAGTAGGGCTCAAGGTCACCAGCACAGCTGCGAGCTGGGCCCCGGGACACCGAGCGGAGGCAAGGGAAGAGGCAACGGAACCCTGCTGGGACGGGTGCCCTGGCAGGGCCAGGCAGAGCTGGGGCCCGGCCGGCTGCGAGCCAGGACTCACCCGGGCGATCTCAGCGTACGCCAGACCCAGGATCCCTTCCCAGTTGGAGCCGTTGATGAAGAATTTGTCTGACTCCGTGATGGCAGCGATGTTGGCTCTGACGGTGACGTTGGGGCCGTGGGGGATGGTGACAAGGTCGGTGCCCAGCTCCCCTTCCCACTTGCCCTGGGTGTAGGGCACGTACACACCCTTCCGCAGGTCACGGTAGGTGCTGGACCTGCAACAGCATTAAAGAGCCAGGGTAAGACCGGCGTGGAGGAGGAGCGTGTGCCCGCGCGCTGGGTGACGGTGGGAGCGTGTGCATGCATAGCCGAGCATTTGCAAGCATAGAGGCATTGCCTGTCCTGCAGACCGGCACGGCTGGGCGAGGACAGCGTGTTTCTCCACGCATGCGGCCATTGGGGAGCCCCCACCACAGGTCGGTGACGTACTAGAATGGCTCCTTGCAGCCTGGGCCGAGGCTGTCACGGGGTGCGCAGGGGACAAGCCCAGCTGTTGTTTGCTGTGTACAATGGCCACTGGCCCAGACACCGTCCTAAATGTTGGAGGAGGGCGAACATGTGGCCGAGGGGTCCCTCCTTCTCCAGCTTGGAGGCTGGGCGGTACCTGGCAGGGTCTGGCTGGACCCCCAGCAAGAAGGGACAGCGTGCCTCCGTGGGGCTGGGGCTGTGCGACTGGCACAAGGAGCAGCGGCTGTACTCCCTGCGTCCGCCCAGCATACTCACAGCTGCCGCTGGTAGTATCTCCGGAGGAAGGGGTGAGGCGCAGCTCCCACAGCGAAGTTACTGCTCCCTGTGTCCACCAGGATATTCAGCTGGAGAAGGAAGAGAGACAGGGAGGCTCATGACTGCAGTGGGACTGTGCTGTCCCACCTGCCCGGCTCTGTCTGGCACCGCAGGCAAGCGATGCTTTCCCCGTCCCCACGCCTGGCGCACAGTGGCCGCTGCGCCGTGTTATTCCCAGGGAGCCACAGCTCTGGGTCCCCAGCAAGTCTCCCGACTGGGGCCAGGAGGGACACCTGAGCAAGGGCCCTCTTTTGCCATGCCCGGGGAGAGCTCAGAGACGCTGTACGAGAGGACACAGCAGTGGAGCAGGAGTCAGCGACATGAGGGTGTTGCACAAGAAGCAAACATTGTCCGGCACTGTGCAAACAGAGCGTGAGCTCTCCTCTCGGCACAGCCCGGCTTCGGGCCCCTGCGCCTGCTGCCTGAATCTGCAGGCAGGATTCGGCAAGCGCCTGGCAGGGTGTTGTGGGGCTGGAGGGAGCAGCGGCAAGACGGGGTGCCCGGGCTCCCCTTGCCAGGAAACCTAATTTGCTCACAAAGCTGGTCGGAAGGACTGACGTTACGCAAGCCGCAGCGGATTGCTGGGTCCGCTAATCGGTCATCCCTA